TGGCTAGCTTAGCAAAATCTCTAATAAACTTTTAGTAGAAGTTTGCAAAACTAAGAAATAATTAAACGCCTTTTACTATCTTAGGTGCTTCTTACTCTTTAATAGCCTTAATCTTATCTAGGTCTATGCAGATGCCTTTCCCTGTATTAATAATAAACCTAAGATACTTAGTAGACTTTACTTTAAACTCGCATTTCTTAATGTCTACATGTAAGCCTACATCCTAGAGCTTGCTAAGAATCTTTTAGACGTAGTTCTAGTGTTGTTTTAGGCTGCTGTCTGTGTAGATTAACACGTTATTAAGATAAGTAGAATAGAAGTTATTAAGATACTCTCTTAAAGTCTAGTTAATGTACTGCTAAAAGGTACTTAGGGAGTTTGCTATACTAAATAGAGTAACTAACTATTTAAATAGACTAAAGCGTGTCTAGAAGGCTATCTTCTACTTATCGCTCTTAGCAACGCGGATCTTGTAGAAAGCTGCGATTATATCTAGTTTAGTAAACTACCTAGCCTTACTTAGGTTGTTAAGAGTCTCTTAGATAAGAGGTAGTAGGTACCTGTCCTTCTTAGTAATCGCGTTTAACGCCTAGTAATTAATATATAGTTACAGCCCTCCTCTAGACTTCTTCGCAAACAGCACTAGTGTAGAAGCTAGCGAGCTACTTACGCGTATAAATTCTTTTTTAAGAAGAGAGGTAAGCTCCTTTTAGAGCACTAACAACTCGCCTCTTAATATACTATATAGTAGTCTCTATAGCGGCTATAGCTGCTGTCTATCCTTTAATTCTAGCTCTATCTAGTAGTCTACTCTAGGTTCTTAGTGTAGAGGAAGCTTTAACACTTTCTTTAGGTTAAAGAGCTTATAGTAGCTCTAATAGTGCTTTAGTAGTAACAACTTTACGTCTACTACCTTCTTTAGCGCTAACGCCTTGTTAATGTCTGCAATAGAGGCGGCGAATACGCGCACTCTATTCTTTAGGTTCTTAGCCTTCTTAATAAGGCTAGCAAATGCTGCTGTGTTTACTTCGCGAGTAGTCTTCTTATTTGCAACACTCTTATCGCACCTTACCTAAATGCCTTTTAAGTAGATATATAAGCTCCTTTTTATAGAAGTAATTATAATGTCTTAGTAGTCTATCTACTCTTTCTCTAGAATAATATTCTTGTCTATATTGTTAATTACGTATGTGTAGGCGACCTCTTAGTAGCTATACATATTAAACTTAAATTAAGAGACTTTCTTAATCTTTAACAACTTTCTATTAATTCTTTTAATTATCTAAGAGGTAATCGCAAAGCGCTTAAGGTAGCTTTAGCGTATAAACTTTCTGCTAACTAGTGCGTAGCACAAATACCTGCTATTTATTAACGTAGTAGTGTTGTAAATAGAGTTTATAATTAGGTGTGCTGTAAGAGGCGGGGTGTTTATATATTAGTGTTAGAACTAGTTCTATTTGCTACTTATCTACTAATCTATCTTTATAGGCTCTAAGTTAAGACTTTAGCTTAGAGCTACTCTTTTTCTAAATTCTCTAAGTCGCTGCTATCTAATGCTTTTGTATAGCATTTATAAGCAGGCGAGGACTTACGCTAGGCTACTCTGTTTACCTTAGTACTCTTTAACTTAGCACTCTCTTTGTAGTTCCTAGCTATATACCCTTTCTTGCTGTAGGAGTAGTATTTAACCTAATTGCGGCTTAGCCTCTTATTCTTTGCACTTGCTTTGCTAACCTTTATTAGTTCCTAGTCTATGTTCTCTAGTAGTAAGAGCGTCTAAACGCGGCTTGGTCTATTCTAGTGTAGTGTTTAGTAGATATACTACGTAGCTCTCTCTCTTAGCTTGCTGTTTAGGTTAATCTAATAGAGGTTATCTAAGATCTTAATTACCTTGTCTATATATTTCTTAAAGCTATAGCCTTTTAGAGTACGTAATATAAGCTACTAAAGTTCTACACTAAGGCCTTCGCTAAACATCTCTTAGAGAACTAACTTGCTAAATTCCTATTCTAACTCTACACGCAGCTAGTTAAACTTAGAAATATAATCTTAGACTAAGCGTTAACCCTGCTTTAGGTGCTAAAGCTTATTTAGAGCGCGTTTTTGCTAGTGCACGTTAAGAAACTAAGTATCTATGTGCTCCTACAGCTCTTCTACTAAACTTAGTTAGTTCTCTAATATCTATAGTAGAAGAGCTTAGTTAGCCTTGTCTCTAGTTTAGCTAAGAACGTATTGTTTCTTTAAGTCTTTAGTTAGGAATAGGTGCTTATTGTACTTAAGTTTTTCTTTACACTTATACTTCTAGCCTAGGTAGTTTAAACAACTACTGTTAAAGCGTTCTAGGTCTAGGAGCCTCTTTCTCTAGGGCTTCTCTAGGAAGGTAGGTACTGCGATATAATCTAAATAGCTCTTAGGCGTTAGCGTAGATAGAGTTAGTTAGAGACCTTATTGCTCTAGTGCTTCTAATCTTGCAGTTATTAGCGCTATTATTTAAGTAAGCTAGGTTAAGGCTGCTACTATTACTGCGGTTACGTTCTAAGACGCCTTTAGTAAGCCCTTAGGTAACTCTCTAGCCTTCTTAGTGCGTCTAGTAATTTTGTTAATTATTAGTGCTATTGCAGCGTTCTTCTACCTGTCGCTCTTAAGCATATTAACAATGCTCTCTTGTATCTTACTATCTAGTACACTAGCGAGGTGCTTAGCTAACGTATAGGCTAACAGTTCTTCTGCGTTAAGGTTAGGTAGGTTGTCTATTTTCTTCTAATCTTCTATTAGAAGGCTTATCTCTACGTATATGTACCTGCTTCTCTTATAGGGCTTTTAATTAGTATTCTCTTGTTAATTATTTACGCACTAACAGCTAGCTCCTTATAAGCTACTGCGCAGTAGCCTACTCCTCTATAGTAAGAACTAGTAGAGCTTCTAGTAGCCTATTACTGTTATAGAGCTTCTGCGGCTTCCGCGGCTTGCTCTTAATAGTAAGGCTTCTAAATAACTCTTAGTAGTTGTTATAGGTTGCGACTATTAGTAACCTAGTTACCTTACGCTTACAATTCTTGCACTAGTTAGTACTTTAACACAGTATTGTAGCCTATGCTCTATTTAATAGAGGACTAATAGAACTTACGCAGTAGACGCAGTATAGCTATCTTTCTTATAGCGCTAACTAGCCTTTAGATAGTTTTTATATACTATAGTAGGCTAGACCTGCCTCTTTAGCCTTTAAAGAGATTATAGAGCTTTCTAACTACTACTACTTACTACTTTATAGTATTTCTTGCGGCTAGTAGAACCTACACCTTAGTACTGTTAAGGTATCTATAGAGCTTTCTGTTAAGGCTTGCTTCTAGCTAGCTACTACTCGCTTTACTAGTTTATTGCAACGCGTTAACCTCTAGTGACTACTTTCTATAAAGGGTCGCTCTAATAGACTTACTACCTTATAGTAGATTATCTAGTTGTTGTCTAAAAGCCTTTTAGGTAATAGAGCAACACTAATTCTATGTAGTAAATTAACCTACTTGCACGTAATAAAGAGGCAGTTAAGAAGCTTAACGCGCGTTGCGTTAATAGAGTCTTATAGCAAGGCTCTATTAATTAGAATTAATTATAAAATATAAGGGGCTACGCTTAGGAAGCTATCGCACAGGTTTACTAAGGTTATAATTAATAAAGAAGAAACTATAGACAGCTTAGTCTAAAGGACTATTAGTAAGCTGCTAGAATAACCTTTAGTCTAATCCTCTAAACGTGATCTGTGCGCCTTGCACGTTTACCCGAGATCCTATTAAGGTATAACATACTAGGCATTAGCCTATCACAGCTATCTCTAAGTAATTATCTTATCTATTATTGCTTAGAGAGAAAAGAAAGGTTAGCCTAAACGCAACTATTGCTATAGTTCTAGCTAACCTAAAAGAAAGAGATAAGTTTATACTTATAATATTGTTAGAAGTTGTCTTTACTATATATATTGTATTAACGTATACTAACTACTTTCTATACTACGTAGTAGAGTATATCTCTATAGGCTTTGCTATTTGTATAAGTATTAAAGAATATAAAGATGTACTACTACAAGTATATAAAGTAGTTAGTATAGGTACTAAAGTATATAGGTATTATTTTTAGTAGAAAGAGATTCTATTTTAGAAAGATTCTCTAGTCTAAAGTACTATATAAGTATCTAGTATCTAAAAAGCTATTCTTGTCTTAAGAAAAAAGATAATTCTCTAATACTATTACTTTCTCTTATGTTCTTATCTGTTAAAGTTCTTGTTCTTAGCAATCTTTAGATGATTAAATAGCTAATTTACACTAAGAAACTCTATGCACCAGCACAATATCTTTAAAGTAAGAGAGAAATTCTTACTTAACTAAGTTAAGTATATACTAAATAATTACTCTTTCTTTAGTATTATTTAAATATATTATTATTAGCTTATAGTCTACTTATAAAATTATATAAGATATATTATTAGTAGCTATAGCGCGTTATAATAAGTAGCTATAGCGCGTTATAATAAGTAGCTATAGCGCGTTATAATAAGTAGCTATAGCGCGTTATAATAAGAGAGTTATATTTTATTTAATAGCTTAAAGTGTAGTTTATATTCTAGTCTCTTCTAATAGTACTATCTAGTGTAGCTAATAGAGTATTATAGAGTAGAAGTAGTTTTAGTAAGGTTCTAGTATAGGTATTTCGTGAAGCCTGCTAATCCGCGAAGCATGCACCTACGTTATAGAAAAGAAAATCCTCTAAGTTGTACAGGTATACTTAGTACCACAGCAACCTTCGCGATGCTATCCTACACTGCCTTGAGAGCGATCAATGATTACTATTCAAAGGACCGATTACGGGTTTTTGTGTCAGCACAAACGGCGCTTTTGTTCGCCCGTAATTTCCCATGTACGAAAAGCCGTCATAGCCAGATTTCTGGTCTGTCGACTTCATCTCAAATAGCACGCGTCTTTATCTCTGTTTTCTTGCAGTCACAACTATGTGGTCCTTATCTCTCATCTCGCTCCTTTGCCCTATCGCACTCGCAGCAAGCTCTGGCTGTGGAACTCGCTTGCCCTCAGGACTCACACCGGGCAAATCCACCAGCAATGTCACTTTGTCCTCGAAATCGGTAATCGGCAATATCACCGAGCGCGAATACATCTTGCACTTGCCATCCAAGTACAAGGCCTCGAACGATGAAGCTCTGCCGCTTGTGTTTGCGTTTCATGGGCAGCAACAGCCTGCAAGAAGCATGGAGGCCATTAGCGAGCTATCCAACCCTGACTTCAACCCAAACACTATCGTGGTATATCCAGAGGGCATGAACGTTCAGGCACCCGGCGTAAGTTCTCGTTAGTGCTGCATGAATCCGAGGCTGACTGCAATGCGTAGGTGCAATGGCTAGGCGACCCGTTAGCCCCCACTTCCTCTGTGATCGATGACCGAATCTTTGTCGCCGAACTTTTCGCACACCTGACGTCGACTTTGTGTATCGATGAGAGCCGCGTATATGCCGTCGGCCTCTCTAACGGGGGCGGATTGACTGGACTGCTTATGTGTGATGCGCACCTCAATAAAAAGTTCGCTGCGTTTGCAACCGTGGCAGGCTCGTTCTATCCTGACTCAAGCTTGACAGAGCCTCTATTTGAGAAGGACTGCGTCCCAAGCTTACAAGATAGGGCGCTCCCTTACATGAATCTGCACGGGCTCAACGACAGTGTGGTCCCCTACGATGGCAACAGCGAATCGCCACCACCGTTCATCCCAGTACTGAGTTGGGTTGAGAGCTGGGCGAAGCGTGACAAGTGTGCGAGCAGCCCCTCGACGGAGCAACTGGAAAATGGAACCGTTTCAGAGAGTCGATGGCAGTGTAACGATGTTAATGATGTCGTCATTCACAGAGCGATCCAGCGGTTTGGTCACGGCTGGCCGAGTCGCAAAAATCAAGGGGAGCCTTTCGAAACATTGAGGAATGGGCCCACATCATGGGATGCTACGCCCTACATGTTGGATTGGTTTGCCCGGTGGTCTTTGTAATTAGTCACCAGATACGCAATAGTCCACAATCCGGATCGAGCTCGTAACGATCTCTGGCCGCCTTGTCACAGGATCAAATCAGGCTGTACTACGTTGACTCCTCTTCTTCGTCAGGCGCTTTGGTTTTGTTGAGCTGCGGAAGATCGATCGCAAACACTAGTATGTTCACTATGATGAACATAGCGATTGCCGAGATGAAGACTAGTCGCAGACTACGGCTGTATGCCTCAATCACTGTGGAAGAGGTCAGTATCAGTGTTGTAGTAGAGAAGCGACATCGTATTTGGCTTGAAGGAGGGAAGCATCTCCCTGGCGGCAAGTAAGACTGACCTTGACTTTTGTGCACAGCATCGAGTTCAATGATGCTGCGGACCGATTTGCGAACGTGTTGGATGATCTGTGCGCACCTATCAGCACAGGAAAATTGAAGCAATGACAGCATGACGGCAGTCTGACTAGATCCACTACCTCCAGATGAATACATTCGAAGCAGAGCAGAAGTGAAAGACATGCTGAAGTTGCGTAGCACGGGTGATGAACTGTCCCTGGTTTTCCACACCTGCGTTGAGGACATCGTGATATCGCTGCCCGGGAGTGAAGTAGGACATACCTTTGCCTTATTATGACCAGTGACGAGTGTTTCAAGATACGACGTCAAGGCGTTCTGTAGGATGAGACTACTCAACGAAACACCCATCACAATGCCCAAACTGCGCCACAGAATGAGTGTGCTGGTCATGACCGCTTGGTCTTCTTGTGTGCTTGTTGCAAGTACCGCGAGGCTCGTTGCTGGGAAACTCAGACCTTGGCCGATGCTAGATGGAACCAGGAAGATGGTGGCAAGCCACTTGGGGATACCATCCCACATCAGAGACAGACAGGTAGCGCCCAACAGCATTGAAAGTGAGCCAACAACAATAAGCCATTTCATCCGGCCAGTCGCGGTCATGATGAAGCCTGCGGACACGCCGCATATCGTCAAGGCGACCGACGGGCCCGCAAGGCGGAACCCAGAGACGGATGCCGTCTCGAGCTCAACCGCTTGGAAGTACAAGGGCGCATTGAATAGGATGGTGTTCATGCCAACCTGTGCAAAGAAATTGTTGAAGACGAGACTGCCTCTTGGTTTGCTGAACAACATGGGCAGAGGCATGACTGCTCGCGCGGCTTTTGACTCGACTCTAACAAGAACGGCGCCTGTCACCAGTGCGATGACGAGCGATGTGACAACGATCCAATGCTTCCATGGATAAATGTTGCCTCCGAGATTGAGCCCTAGTATAAGGAACGCGACCGATACCGTCAGCAAGATGGATCCAGCGACATCGAATCCCTTCAGACCCTCCTTCAGACCTAGTCCATAACGCTTGGCTAGGTTTGGGCCAAGCGAAGAGGGCGTGGTGAAAATGCCGTTTATCAAGAGTATGACAAGGATCGGTATCTGTATGGCAAAAGTCATCCGCCATCCTAACTTGTCGCAGAGAAAGCCTCCAAACGCTGCCCCACAAGCCGAACCGCCTCCATAGAAGAGATTGATGTATGCCTGGTAGGTACCTCGTACTTCAATGCTGACTAGATCATTGGTCATGATATTACCCATCGATAGAACCCCGGCTGCACCAATACCGCAAAAGGCTCTGGCCGCGATGAAGCTGCCAATGGTCTGCGCAAGAGAGCACCATGCGGTCGTCGCTGCAAGAACAATGAGACCAGCCAGATACAATGGTCGACGACCAACAGTATCTGAGAGCCGACCCATTAGTGGCTGCAGCGAGGTCGATGTGAGTAGAAAAGCCGTTGATAACCAGGAGGCTGAATTCGATGCATGGAAGTACGACGTGATGACTGGATGACTTGACGCCATAAGAGTAGAGTCAAACATGGCAACCTGCCGTCGCACAGTCAGTATGCGCAGCCATGTATGGGATGACCTCTGAATGTGGACTCACAAAGTAACCAAGTAGAATACCACCAAACACGAATCTAAACTTCCACTCTCCAACACCTTCTAATTTCCCATTCTTTTGAAACTTGGTTAGGCTGTCTGTTTCGTCCGTGATTGGGGGCACACTGCCAGGGTCGACAGATTGGGTAAGTGAGCCGCTTCTGGCTTTCCACGATGTTGGAAACTGAGGCGCAGCGCCCTGACCCTGTTGCGCTACTTCTGCGGATGTGACAGCATCTTCGGTGACGGGGTGGTTTGCCGATGTAGAGCGAAGTAGCGGTGTTCGCTCGGACGCAGAGGACGGCATAGTAGCAGGATCGCGATGGTTTGGGACTATGCGCAAGAGTTCTTTAATTGTCAAGTGCAGACGAGTCGGCGTAAATCCGAGTGACGCGAAGAGGAAGTTTCCAGGTGGCTGGACCCCGGGACGTTGATAAGCCTTAGGTGCAGGTGCGAACCAGCCAGATCGCGCTAGTGTTTCCGAACTCGCCGTCCTTTTCCGCTATCAAAGGCGGCGTCATCTTGCACAACTCGCAACATTAATTCCCGAGTTCCCGACAAGATGAGGACGCCATTGCGAATAGCTATTCTAGAGTGCGATACGCCACCAGCAGCTATCGTTGATGAATATGGCAGATATGATCGCATCTTCACTACGCTGTTGGAGAGGGCAGCCCAGGAACTGGGGTTGTCGCCAAAACAAGATCTAGCGCTGAGCGCATTCGATGTGGTCACAGCACAGCAGTATCCGGACTTGCAGAACATAGACGCAGTGTTGATTTCGGGCTCGAGTGAGTAATGGCTGGTAGAGTAATATCGCTATTCTGACTCATGGAAAACAGAGCACAATTCATTCGATAATGACCCATGGATCTTGAAGCTGGTCGACTTTACCAAGAAACTACTAGAGCAAGACCGAGTCCGTGTCATTGGTGTTTGCTTCGGTCACCAGATCCTCGGAAGGGCTGCAGGTGCGAAAGTCGGACGCAGCGACGACGGATGGGAGATTTCGGTGCTGCCAGTACAACTTACCGCGAAGGGCAAAGAGATCTTCCAACAGGACACCTTGGTATGTCTCCAGCCACAGTAATCCTGGTGATCTCTACTTACCTCTACAGGCGATTCACCAGATGCACAAGGATATCGTTTTTGAGTATCCAGAGGGTGTGGAAAAGCTCGGTGGATCGCCACGCTGTCTGGTACAGGGCATGTACAAGAAGGGCAAGCTCATCTCGGTGCAAGGGCATCCCGAATTCACGGAGCCGATTGTGACGTATCTGGTCAAGATGAGAGCCGAGCAGGGTATTTTCGAGGACGAGCAGGCAAAGGATGCGCTGGAAAGGGTCGGCAAGCACCATGACGGGGTTGTGATTGCCAAGGCATTCCTCGGGTTTTTGATGGAGGACTGAAGGTGCTGCTAGATGACTATCCATTATGCAATGATGAAGTCGGAGCCCATGCTCAGGCACGATAGCGATTTCTTGAGGTGAAGAAATCATTTTTCAGAGGCTGGCGGTTGACCCACTCTTTCCATATCGACTCGCACCGTCGGGCGGGGTTAATGGATGATGACCGCGCAGTCCGTTTCTTGGATCAATGATAGGTCATGCTATTATATACGAAAATTTTTGTCTCAATTCCATCAACAAGTCCGGCTTCGTGGCGCAATGGTAGCGCGTCAGATTCCAGTTCCTCTGGAGCCTCCTGAAGGTTAGGTGTTCAAATCACCTCGAGGTCATTTTTTAGCGAAAGATGGGAAATTTTAGGTCCCGTGAACTTCTTTTTTGCCCGACTTTTTCTCCTGGCCCACTTTTTTGCCGAATCACCCAAAACAGCCTCCACGCGATCATGACAGCTCCAGCTGGCTCCCCTGTGCCTTGTGAACACAACAAAAACACCATGCATGGCTATTCTCCAGCTTGTGTTTTTGCCCTGTTCGACCTCATCGAGTCACACTGCCGTAATGGCTCCTGCCGTCCGGTCACAAGACACTCTACCTGTGGGACTCAATCATGGTCCGACATGTTTTGCGTACAGACCCAGCATGAGTAATGTTTGCGCGTCACAGTCACTCCGCGTGCATGACAGTGCTGTTCACAGTTATTGCCGGCCCTGCCCAGGGCATTCGGATTGCGCGGTACAACGTTTGGGTGTCAACTTGAAGTGACACCCGGGCACAGGCAACTAAATCGCCGTGCCAGGTTAACTCGGCCTCCATCTGCTTGTGGTATTCGCGGCAGCAGCCACTCCATTACTGAGTAAATGAGAACGACTGCAGCGCAAAAGTGAACAACGGTCGCGTAAAGTAATGGAGAATGGCGTCATAATGGCCCGTAACTGGTGGCACATCTGTCCCGCCACGTGAAACGTCGCAGCGGGACGCTGATCCATGCGCCTTCTGGAAGCGGCGCCGACAGCAGGGTCCAAGGCTCAACCTTTCGTTATCCGCCATCACCACAACTCGTCGCCGCTCCCTACGTCGCTCGTTTCGCTCACATCTCCTATTCGACTCGGCCGCGCCGTTACCCGCCTTCCTACGTACATCTTGTAATAGCAACCGTCGCCATTTGCATGCGCCTTACTCAATAACGCTCTTCGGACCCTTACTCCCAATGGGAAAGTGTACGCCATGCCCTCCGTGCAGCCCCATACCCACCACATGGCTTGGACGCTGACACTACTTGGCACATAGGGAGATACGGTGTTGTCCTAGATGCTGGGTCCTCTGTACGTTCTCAAGTTGTTGCTGAGCAGCTATCGCAGGGTTATAGCTGACCATGATTAGGGGACGCGCGTCCACATCTACCGATGGTTGAACCACGACGCCGCCCGCAAGAAGGCTGGCGATGCGCAACTACACAGCCTGCCGGTCATAGAAACGAAGGAGGACTGGACTAAGAAGATACACCCAGGTATGTGGCCAGTGTGGGAAACACTGACCCCGTGGAACTAACACGCGATGGAACAGGCATCTCAACGTTCGGCGAACACCCCCACGATGTCGGCTCCGAACACCTCGACAAGCTCCTCAGCCATGCGCTCAAATACGTCCCCCTCGAAGAAGTCCCAAACACCCCCCTCTTCCTGCTTGCGACAGCGGGCATGCGCATACTCCCCGAGCGCCAACGGAAGGAGGTACTGAAGGAAGTCTGCGAGTTCGCGCGAAGCACCACCCAGTTCCAACTACCGGATTGCGACGTGCATGTTCAGGTCATACCGGGAGAGACAGAAGGCCTCTATGGCTGGATTGCAGCGAACTACCTGCTTGGCGGATTCGATCGACCCAAAGACCACGACCACGGCAAGGGTCACAACACCTATGGATTTCTCGACATGGGAGGCGCGTCGGCCCAGATCGCCTTTGCACCAAATGCGACCGAAGCGGAGAGGCATGCGAACGACTTGACGCTCATGCGTTTGCGTGCGATCGACGGCACACCGCTCGAACACAAGGTGTTTGTGACGACATGGCTGGGGTTTGGAGTCAACCAAGCAAGAGAGCGCTACGTCAAGGCGTTGTTGGAGTCCAGCGCGGAGAAGGAGCTACCAGATCCTTGCCTACCAGCGGATCTCAAGGTGGAGGTCACAGAAGATGGCAAATTGATCGACTCAGACGACGACGACGACGATGATGACGACCAACCAAAACCGAAAGCTGCAGCGAAGTTAGTAGGGACCGGACAGTTTTCCGAGTGCTTGCATCGTACATTTCCATTGTTGGAGAAAGAGAAAGAGTGCACAGACTCGCCATGCCTGATCAACGGACAGCATGTTCCCGCTATCGATTTCAACGTAAACCACTTTGTAGGCGTATCCGAGTACTGGCATACCACGCATGAGATCTTCGAACACGGATACAAGCACAAGGCATACGACCTCAAGACCTATCAGGAGCGAGTGGATGAGTTCTGTAGTCAAGACTGGAAGAGTATAGAAAAAGGCATCAAGAAAAAGAAGTGGGGTCACAAAGTCGACGAGGACAAGGCACGGGAGGTGTGTTTCAAGGCGTCCTGGGTCATCAACATGCTGCACGATGGGATCGGCGTCCCCCGAGTTGGCATTGAAGACTTGAACGGCAGCACAAACACCACCAAGGAAGTCATCGACAATGCAAAGGCCAAGGGATTCCTCGACCCATTTCAAGCAGTCAACAAGATCAACAAGGTGGAGCTGAGCTGGACACTGGGAAAGATGGTCTTGTACGCTTCCAGTGAGATTCCACCGCCTTCCGAAGAAGCCCTCGCAGTGGGCTTTGGCTCCAACGTACCCGGTATACCAGCAGACTTCCAATACCCCGGAGGCATACCAAAACAGTACGAATCCGACAGCGACTGGCATCGGCTTTTCGTCGAGAATCCGCAGCGCATTCCTGGATTCCTCATCATGATATTCATTATAATCTTCATCTTTTGCCTCATTCTTGGAAAGGAAAAAAGGAATGCGGCCAAGCAATCCATCATCAAGCTCTTCAAGAGCAAACAGGGCAAAGACCCTCTTCACCGCCGCCGAGGGCGCAGTTTCCCAGCAAAGCTTTTTGGCCTTGGTGGCTCCTCCTCCAATGCCCAGCAACCTTACGAACGTGTTGACCTGGAAGATGGCGATGCAGCGAACGAATTTGAACTTGAAGAGACGTATCTGGACTCCTCGGACAATGAGCTTTCAGACTCCTCTGAGGGGTCCAAGGTGGGAAAGACAAGTGGCTGGGCGACGCCGCAGATCAAGACCGAACTCGCGCCAGGTGCACCGAGTTACTTTGGCACCACGACTGCTGGAGACGTGGTCAGAGAAGGGACGGGCCTAGGGTTGGGGCCCCCGAGTACCTTTGAGTTGAGCCGGACGTACAGCCGGGAGAGAATTAAGAGCCGTGCAAACAGTCCGAAGAGAGGGAGAGGCATGTCGAAACTAGATGAGTAGCAGCTTTGTAATGAGGACGGCCTTCGATTCTATGCAGTAATGTTTCTGCGTGGCGCGAGAGATACCTTTGGTGTAGTACATTCAAGGGAGGAGTTTGGCGTCCTGGTGCCGTTGCATCACATAGAAATGGGTCATGAGTTACGCAGCTGTCATTTTTACCTACCATGTTTGGTTCTATATATCCACAAGATAAAGATTCCGATACTTTTGCCAACTTATTCCTGTTGTAGTAGCCAATGCTATATGCCCTTTCAAAGCATTCTTCAAACTATGTGCCATTTGGCGTCACAATTGGTCTCCAGGACACTAGAGGATGGACAAGACGTCCAAGAAATTCCAAGAAAGGTTCAGGACTGCTGGTCCCGCGGTAGACGTTCCAGAGCCCGCCGTTCCTGCGCGAACCATTGATCCTAGACACAGCCCCGAAACCGGCTAGCACTGCGCCCGCGTCCGACACAGCCTCCATATCGCCACCACATCATACCATCGGGAACTGGATGGTCGCACTCAAAAATCTGATCGCCACCGCAAACACATCCCAGCATTACAACGACTCGAAGTGACCCGCATGTACCCGTCTTGAGCCGTTGTTGGCTGTGAGGCTGTGCAGACTACATGTCAGAAGACGATCCTCGCAGTCGTATTGGTGACTGAGTTACTTACTCCTTCCTAACTTATGATCGGGAGGTGGCAAGGTACTTCAATCTGACGACTTTGAGCTGAAGACACCTTTTGGAGGTGTTGGAGAATATTTAAAGCGCCTTGATAAGACTGGACGGTAGGATGTACAGATGGTACGATTAGACAATATACTGTGCGTTACGTGGGCAAGAGTTTAGTAATGCTTATATAGCAGTCGCAATAACGATTGCATGATTCTCGGCATAAATGTACGCGAATTATAGCATTTAAGATAACTGATAATTCGAAGAGACATTTTCGGACTCAGTGACGGCGTTGATCCTCGTGCATGTGTGATCTTAGGGCCATCTTGATTTCCGCCCATGTACACATTTGCATGTCGATCCACAGAGGCGTAGTAGTAATTGTGTGTACAGCAAAAGGCACTGTGCATGAATGCCATAATCATAAGTCCCTTAGGACAAGGGCACTTCGCAGGAATTAGTGATGAACTCTGCTCAATGAACCTGCAATCGAGAACGCTACTTCCGAGACTTGACTATGGCAGCCTCTGTTCGAGCTCTATCATGAGGAAATCTGATATCATTGCATCCAATGCCGTTCTCTGCCGTTGAAGTTATAGCTATAATTCACCTTAACTTCATCTTCTGGAGGCTTATTGAGGGAATAGGTGTTTTGACAAGATAGAAAGTTTCTGGGTTGAAGATGCTTCCTTCGGCGTGTGCTAGCATATCAGAGATCTACTTGAGATCTTGAAGGTTGCTAAGATGCAATTATCTCATGGCATGCAGTTCTTTTTTGGTTAGTGCAAGGACCTAGATCATGAAACGTGCGCGCATGCAGAAATCGCTCTTTCTACTTCGTGAACTTGATGGAGCAGATAGGGAGTTTAAAAAAGCGTATGGTGCCGTGGGCTCAGTGACTGGTCCATCGACCGAACGGCAGCGCTTACTAGACGCCTGACGACTGTCTGCTCAACGTTTGCTGCAGGTAATTGAGGAAAGTTACCCTTTCAATGCGTCTTGAAATAGTCCACCGTGGCCGAGCGGAGCATCACTAATTCATTGTACTATGGAATCCATGGGTTGATGGTTTTTCTG